TTGCCTTCTTTGCCATCTTATCTGCTTCCCCGTTTCCTTTTATTCCACTATGTGCTGGTACCATCAAAATACTACTTTTAGTCAAATTCTTTGTATCCTGAATAATTTATGTAGTATTTCTAATAAAATGTTTGGTCAGATGTCTGAATTATTGTGTTTTAAATTCAACAATACAGAACTGGAATCTGAACAAATTATTGTTTTACAGTGTTCTGCTAATAGACCTGCAGACATTTTTCCTGTGTATACTGATAATCCTATGGTGATTTTATTTCCTATTTTTAAAATAAATTCCTGTGGTGCTAATAAGTTGCAAAAGCATTAAGAATGCATGTGCAAAAAGTATTGGTGTGTTCTGTGCTCCATTAACCAGCCTGTGACGCAGTGACATAAATTAACAGTTATAAATTCATATTCTAATAGAACAAATCTGTGTTCAAACATTCATAGTTACTTGTATTCATAAAGAGTAAACCACAACTGTAAACTTGAACTTTGTATTTGTAAGTTTGTCAAGTTGTAACTTTTTAAATTGTATTTTTATACATGAAACATACATGTACATGTACGAATTTTACTTATGCTGTTACATTTACTATTGATTAATATGCACACATTTCTGTCTTTATATACACAATTATTTTGATAGTGTTCTTACCCCATAGTCAAATAAATAAAGAAGTTATCTGTAATTTACACCTTGAACAGGATGTCTGTCAGGTATTTGCAGCACCACTGCTTAATGCACACAAAATGTCACATACGACATGATAGTGGGAAAAGGGAAGAGGCTTAAAAGATAGGTTCACCTCTCGACCCTTTGAGGCACTTTTACAAAACAGTTCTGCAGAACAGCGACAGCGCCAAGTGTTTCTTTAAGTTCCCTCTAACCATTCATGAAAAACTTATCAAGCCAGCCCAGTCCTGCATAGATATTAGCTTTGAAAAATGAAGCAAGTTTTTGTGGTAACCAAAGGAAGCGCCACACAATGAATGTGTGACAGATATCTTCCTCATATCATATTTAAAACTTGACATTCATTTAGTTTTACAGTTTTCGTTTTGTTGACTACTCTGTAATGAACTCTGGTTATTGTTTGTTTTTTAGGCTTTTAAATCTTGGGTTGGGTGGTCGCACCAACACCATGTCATCATTAGATCACATTATCAACTGTCACAACTCTGTTACTGTTGCCACCTTGATGCTGAAATGGCACAACAGTGGTGGACTGGCTTCAACACCCCCACCCCATGTCATCACGGTCCATTCAGAAATTACCCCAAAATGACTCGATATGTATAAATCCTGGCAGAATCTTGGGTCTGCCTATTGACTAGTTTCAAGGATTCAAGGATTCAAGAGTCTTTATTGTCATTCACACCACATGTGGTACATGAGGTGGAACAAAACTATGTACTTAGGGTCCCAGTTACATCCAACAAAAATACAACTTGTAAAGAAAAACAGTAGTAAGATCCAAGACATGAACTAAGAAAAATGCTAAACTGAGAATACACTAAATACACTAGATTAGTCCATCCATCCATCCATCCATCCATCCATTATCTTTACCCGCTTATTCCATTTTGGGTCACGGGGGTCGCTGGTGCCCATGTCCAGCAATCACTGTGCGAGGGGCGGGGTACACCCTGGACGGGTCGCAAGTCCATCACAGGACCACATAGAGACAAACGAGACAAACAACCATTCACTCTCTCACTCACACCTAGGGACAATTTAGAGTTACCAATCAGCCTAACATGCATGTTTTTGGTCTGTGGGAGGAAACCGGAGCACCCGGAGAAAACCCACGCATGCACGGAGAGAACATGCAAATTCCACCCAGAAGGCACCTGGACCGGGGTTTGAACCAAGGACCTGCTCGCTGAGAGGCAGCAGCTCTACCAGTTGTGCCACCGTGCTGCCCACTAGATTAGTCTCTGTCTTCCAAACCAAACATTTCAAAATAAGGGCTTGGCTTGTTCAGTGTGTAATAAAAACTATACTACGCTCTCAACTGTTTTTGCTACAGACACTTATAATTTTAAGATATCTGAGTTGTTTGGATTATGGAGGATTGAATGAGTAGTATTATTGTAGTCCACAGCAAGTGTTACTAATCTCCTGTAGGAAAGAAGTTCCTAGCTAAACATCATCTGCTTTCAATAATAAAGTGCTATGTGTTGTCATCATTGTATGTTCCCATACAATGGTGAAATTGGCTCTCTGCATGTAACCCATCACACCTGGGATACACCCAGGTGGAGCAGTGGGCAGCTATGTAAGATGCACGGGGTGCAATTTGGGATTAGGTGTCCTGCTCAGAGACACCGCAGGATGTGCAATGACCGGGAATCGAACCCAGGACCTTCAGTTCCTGAGTCGGCTGCCCTGCCCCTACACCATCTCGGCCCCTTCAAAGTACATAAAGAAAATAATTAAAGGAAGTAAATATTTTCACAACAGCTTTAATATCCAGGAAACCACTTTAATTATTGGTCATTCAGTAGGTCGTCATAAAACACCTACAGTCAGCATTGAAACAATAAATGTCCAGAGAAAATGATCAGCTGCTCAATGCTGCTGCGTTTCGGCAAGTTGGACATCTTCATTAAGATTTTGATGTGAAACGCTTTATATTACCAACAGTTGACACCTAAAATGTGAGAGTTTCTGTGTCTCACATATAAAGTTGGGGTTTGGCAAGAACAGAAAATAATGTCTAGTGTTTCTTTGAAAGGATAAAGACAGTGCTTTGAGATGTGTACAATGTTGTTGATGCCTAAAATAGAAACAAAAGCCCATAGTAGTCAAATAACGAAACAGCTTTTTGGTATAAAAAAAAAATAAAAGTGTCCTAAAAAAACAAAAGTGTCTGACACTAAAGAGTTTATTTGGCTGGACTTTGCAGAAATGAACTGAAGTTTTGATGATGCAACTTTAGATTCAACTTTCATTTAGAAGCAAAGCAAAAGCGTATACAGGGAACTCAATCTTTAGCACAGAACCTTGCGCTGCAGTACCATTTTTATTGCAGTTTCACTAGATATGGTATATAGGCTTCAGAAAACAATACAAAGATACTTTGAACTACACTTTTGTCTCTTTGGGCATGCAACACCGAACAACGTTGTAAAGTTAATGTAGTTTGCATAGAAACACAAAAATGTTAGAAATGGTTTAAAATCTGAATATTCTCTTAATTTTACAGTTTAGCATTTAACAGTTTGTGCATTTGTTTATAAAATAAGAAAAACTAAAAAGAAACCAAGAGTCACCATGTTCCAGAGTCTTTCACATTGATTAGCGACACATATTTCTAGACTTCTAATATTTAATCTTTTATTTTCCACCGTGGAAATGCTGTGGAACTGAGAAATAATATTTTTCTATTTTAATTTGTGTTCTCAGCACTGCCTCGGAGATTGGCATGAAAAATGATGATCTCCTGTGAATCAATTATGCAACTGGCTCTGTGGTGACTCAAAAGCATACAGTTCTGTCAGCGGATCCATAAATCGTCGAGAGTGCATGTGGAGGCATTATGTGGCCATATGCTTCACGCCCGCAAGATTTTTCTCATGCTTAACGCTCCTGATCATACATTGCACAACATATGATTGGATTTTATGCTTTCCAAGTGCCAGGCTTTCAAAAAAAAAAAAAAAACGAGGAGACAGAGGCGACAGTAATATTTATTTGTATTTTCTTTTTGATTGGTGCAGGTAGTTCAGCTGATATTACATTTGCACATATCCATCCCCCCCCCCCCCCCACACACACACACACCTTTCATCTCTATGCCTTATATTCAATTTGTGCAAGGAATGTTACTTCAAAGACTATATAGTTGTCATGACATATGATTTATGACATTAATTGGCTTATTATAGTCAATGCAGTTTGTCCTTTTATGTAAATTGTCTCCTACAGAATGTCTCCCTAGGAGACAAACTGATCTTTCTGACAGCTGTCTCACCACTGAACATTACATCATTCCAACAAGCTCTCATTCCCGGGGCATCAAATGGTGCTGCAGCTCAGTAGGTGTCTTTTTTTGTTGGTGTTGTGACACGACGGCCACAGCAACGCTCGAGTTCCCCAGCAAACAATGCTTAATCCACAATTTTTTTTTTTTTTTTTATAAATCAGCTTAATTTATAAAAGTTTTAGTGTTTTTAACTTAATTAACTTATTTCTTTATTCTTAGATGTTAGCAATAAATTATTCAAGGTTTTCTGCACTGTAGCTTTAGAAGTAAGGACAACATATTTTACATACCACTAGTGGCACATAAATGGTTCCAGTATAGGGGTGTTTGAATGGCATACTCATTAATTTAATTGTCTGTATGTGAAAACCTAAAAAAAAAAGGGAATAAATAACATGTATTCCACACTTAACTGTCAAACAGATTTCTGTTCATGGCTGATATTGCGTTACATGTATTGTTTCATTGACATATGACAATGAATACATTACATTTGTAAACTGTATCATCAATACGTGCGAGCTTTGTCTGTAAAGCACAGTTTGTACCTGAATCATCTGATTCCAGCAGTCATGGCCACAATGTGTGTACTTGTTAGTCATCTCCTCTGTCTCACCTCTCTGCAACTTCCTCCCAAGGCCGTCTCCCTCCCTACACGTTTTTATATGTTTAATAAACTTACTGAAAAGAAATTTAATCTTTTAAAGAAGTCACTGCTTGGACGTTTGGGCTAAGAGAGCTGCACATTAACAATTTATCTCTTCTGCTTTTTTTTCTTCTGTTTCTATCATCTTCCCACACTTCTCTGCCCAAACCCTTTCACTCTTTGATCTGTCTACATCTGTCTCTGCTTTCCATCATCCTCTCTCCGTGCAGGGGATGAAGTGGATCAGCACTATGTCCCTCAGCAGCAAAAGGAGTAAGAGGAGGATTAGAAGGAGGAGTATTTGTAGCAGTGGAGGAGATGGCCTCCTGCTCTCCTTGGTCCTCCTGGTGGCGGTGACCATGATGACGAGCCCTGCGGTGGCGCAAAAGCAGAGGACCAGTGGTGGTTCAGAAAAAGTGCCGGTACTGAACATCGCGGTGATCCTGGGACGCACGCGCTACATCTCTGACCGGGACATCCGGGCTCTTTGGAGCAAAGAGGACCCTATTGACGTCAATGTGGTCACACTGCTGGTCAACGAAACGGACCCAAAAAGCATCATCACCCACATGTGCGACTTGATGTCGGGTACCAAGATCCACGGCGTGGTATTCGGGGACGGCACTGACCAGGAGGCCATTGCCCAGATTTTGGATTTTATTTCCTCGCAGACGCTCATACCCATCTTGGGCATTAATGGAGGGTCGTCTATGATCATGGCTGACAAGGTATGTTGAATCATCTGAATTTGTAAATGTGGAAATGGTCAGTGAGTGAAAAAAAAAATTAAGAAATGGATGCAAAGATGTATGCATGAATTACTGAAATGAACGTTATGATGTCGAAAAATGGATGAATGAATGAAAATACGTTTTTGGACTGATTACGAGTGAACTGGCACCATGTCTTATTTATGCATATTTACGTTATTGCAACTGGCCGTACCTTGAAAAAAAATCCAAATAAGATTGAACAAAAAAGGCCAGTCCTTACAGACAAACATACCATGCTTTTAGACCACAAGATCTTAAACATGTATGGTAGTTCCTATTATTTTTTGCATGTGAACTTAATGTCTAGTCATTTCAGTCACTGACTAAAGGAAGAAGATGAATACTCAACAACTACCTGTCTAGCTAAAAAAATGTGTAAACCCAATAATTTCTTGTGATTATGAAGACAATTGGCTCACATCTTGCACAGTCATGGAGTTGCTTTTGCACTACAAATGCAAACCAAAACCACTTCGACTCAGGAATGCCTGGGAAGTGTTTGGATCACAAACACCTATATTATGACACAAGAAAAAGTGCTGGAAGAACCAGGTAAGTTTTCTCAGGAACCATTTTAAGTATTTGATAACGAGGCAGAGAACATGATGAAGGGAAATGACAGAGATTTGTCAGTAAAGACAGAATGTTATGAAAGGAATTACTAGTGTAACCAACATGAACTACCGGTCCAAGTTGTAATACTCGAAATCGTCATTGATTTTTCAAGAATAAAAATCCCTCAACAATGTGCAAAAGGCTTGATTGGCATCCTCATTTGAATCGGCAAATCTTTCTTGCCTGCCAATCACTTTGAAATGGGAATGGGAAGAAATGAACGGTGAATGATTATGCGGACTCGGGTGCCACTGATGAGCTCCTTGAATTCATCACATTTCACAATAGAGCCATACTTAAATCTGTTATTTGCCCAGATCAAAGCCAGCTTACTTGCAGGGATGGCTATATGGGAGGAAAATTGCACCCAAGTTAAAGAATTCCCAGTTAATTCAAATGCAATAAAAAAAAGTTCCCTGTGTTAAATGAATCATGATAAAAGGTAAAAGTAGGTCAGTTAAAATCTTATTTTATAAAGAGATATAAATTTCTATGATTAAACCTATGAACTTAAGTATAGCTTTAGGGGGGAAAGTGATTCAATAACTTGTGAGCGTGACCTCTGTTGCAGCAGAATATTGATCTAATCCAACACTATCAACAGCTCCTTCAGCCATAAACAACTTACAAGTTCTGCTTAATGGGAAAGAGATGTGAAGCTTGTGCATACAAATCGTTATCTTAATAAATAAATACTATTTCCCATTGAGAAGCCTGGCTAGAGTTGAGTGGAAAAAAGGATTTATCTACCACTGCAAGTATTTGAAAAACTTTATGGTTTTATTGCTACCACTGAAGGCATAATGGAACGTTGCTAAAGAGATCAAAGCATGTCTGTCAGTCTGTCATGTTCTTTGAATATTAAAAAGAACAATTTTGACGAGTTAATGTGGTGATTTCAAAATCATTTTCTGTGGGAAGAGGGTGTGGGGAGTCAAATTAATGTACCCTGTTATATCCTAACCACTGCTGTTTTTCTATACAGGTTTCTTTTTTTTTAATCACAATACCCTTCTCACTTACTTACCCTAAAACAGAATCCCCACAACTGTTTCTGCCAATGTTGATTTTTTGGACAAGTTTACAAAGTTGAAACAATGGTCATGGATGAGCTACACCTACAGTATAATGACAGAATACATCACACACTCCACTTTCATCGCGTTGCCATTGATAAGTGCGCCTCTGTTCGGCTCTCATTTTATCGCTTCTTCTCAGGTGTAAGTTATTTGCCACTGTGACTTGTTTCCCTACTCTGTGGGTGGGATTTTAACTGGTCAATGTTCGAGCCATTCCTCCCATTGTGGTCCTTGACTGAACTATACAAATATATTTTTAGCCTGTTCCAGCACTGCTTATAATTCCAGGTGTAGCATGGCTACACCACTCCATCTTGGATATATCTCTGTAAATGCACTCAATTCTTGTCGCATCATCTGTCAACATGATGTGGAGGAGGTGGTTCAGATGTAGTTTGCAGTTTTGCTAGGCAGGTCATCCAGTGACGTAGCTCCATTGACCCAACCAATGGCTGCTGTCTGCTTACATCAAAATTGGCGCCACAGAGCAGTCCGCTTGGAAACTCCAACAAGGTGGTCTTATAAACCCAGCTGAGTGAGGGTGGGTGCCGGCAGTGTGCATGCCCTTAACTGGTGTGGTGTCATGTAAAGTCAATTAAGAAAGTGTTAAAGTACCAATTGAGTGTTGAACTGATTTTGATTGAAATGATCCACTGAACTGATGAAAATGAAGGAACAGAAATATGTGTGGTTCAGCAGAATTAGCAGCATCATGTTTTGTCACAGAGCTTTTATAATGACCTGAAGTTGGGAGATATTTTGAAACAATCAAATATTAACCAATAAATGTGTGATTACATAAACATCTCTTGACAGCATTGCCAACACAACTTGCAAGATTTGGTGATGCTAGTGGTGAACACATCTAACCAAAATCCATAATACCAACCCATAATAGCTAACTAAAAAGTTAGCTTCACTAACGCTAAACCACTAAACAGGTAAAAAACCCTAAAACATAGTGGAAGCTAATGCTAACTGCTAATCGTTAAGGCGACTGTTAGTCTGCATCACATGTTTTTGTCTCCTTCCAGTTAAAGACTGGTGGGACTGATGCAAACCTGCTGATGTTAGTTTGATTCTTTTGGTTTGATTTGAAGGTGGATAGGGTCATTTGTGGCAATTCAACCAATGCAAACCAGAGTTATAGACCTGATTAATGCAGGCGGACACAAAAAATGCTAAAGATGCTACACGCACACACAAGACACATGATGCACACGTGCATTGCTGCATGTGTGATGGGATAGTTGTTTTTCAGGGAGGATAAATGGCATAAAAATATAAGTTTTCACAGCAGTGGAAGAGTTTGAGCTACACTGTTTAGCTAGCTGCTGCAGTGTCAACCAGTTATGTCTCGTCACATGGAGGCCTACACGTAGTCAGTCGCTGCCTAATGGACTTTGAGACACGCCCACAACAGACAGGAACAGCTGTTTGAATTTTGTTAGCAGACTTAAAGTTAGCAGAACCTCATTTAGCAGAAGGTAATTGGTCTGCTAGCTGTTACCAAAGTTAGTAAAAATGCTAATCCACTGAAAAAGTTATGCTATAAGTTAGTGGAGTAGCAGAACCATACCCATTACTGGGATATGCCATTGCCCTTTAATTACTGCCAATATTAAAATAAAGCACTTTTCTTGGAAGAACAATAGCTGTAAATAGGAATACAATGTTTATTTTAACAGTTAGATGGTGATGAACTAACAAAATAGACAAATTGCCCAATAATACATGTTGCTGCTGATTTCACATTGCCACCAGACTTCTTCCAAAGCTTACCTTTTTTGTGGTTTAATTCTAACGCAGAAACAATGACACATTTATACCAACATTTCTTTTTCCTTTTCAAGAAAATCACATTTCAGACGCACCAGTTACCTGCTGCTTCCTGTTTCTCACAAACTGCAGCTTTCTCACCAATTCTGAGCTCAGTGTAAATCGGCTGAGATTTATTCCCTTTGTTTATGGCAAATACACAAGTACTCTAGTTACTGTGGTAATGGTTTATCGATCATGTATGTGGCCCCTTTTCAGCGAGAACAGAGGAAGGGTATTGAGGAAAGGAGAAAAATCAGAAGGAAGGGCAGTGGAAGGATAAGGAGGTACATGTTAGGATAAAGGAGGTGTAAGGAGGAGGGGGTGGGGTGCAGACGAAGGTGTGAGGGATAATCCCTCATCTTGACCAGCGTTGATGTTGAGTGGACGGGGGATTACTGAATGTACTGTCGGGGTCCTGTTCCACTCAAAGCACTTCAGGAGCACACATTTAGTGGTTTTTCTGTCACTTGTGAGGAAATGGCTCTGTTGTATTTAATTTTAGAGTCTTAAAGTCAACCAGACCTTAAACCAACATAAAACAAACCTACATATCTTCAAAAAAAAGTTAAATACAAAAACAACTGGACTTTATTTGTAGCAAAAGTCCAGTTGTTTTGTATTGAACATTTTTTGAATTTATCATTTCCTAGATGACTGAACATCTTCACCAGCATAAATCTAGATATCAAATCGTAACTATTTGAAAGTGGTGATTTTTTTTTTTCCACCAATTTTTTTGTCATTAGTTAAAAAAGTAGTGATGCAGCTCATTGACCATAGCACCTTTTCCTCTATTATATATA